AGGAATGCCAACCAGCCTTTTAATGAAACGTGGGACTCAAACAAAATGACAAATTACAACCTGTCATAGAACTTCAGTTACATGAGAATATTAACATGCATGCTAAATTCATGAATGAGAATGCCTGCTATTTCTTGGTGATTTTAAAAAATATGTAATTTTGCTATAGGGTATTGTAGGAGAGAAAGTGAGAAAGCCCTCCCGAGGGGAGGAGATGGCCACACTGCGGGTCCTTCTGTGTTCTTTTGGGATTTGGGGTGCACATATGTGATGTGTTTTTCAACCTGCTGGGTCCAGGACTTCAACTGTACAGTTGCCCATGTGGGATCTAATGCCTTAACTACCACAGTCCTGGCTGGTCGTGTTTTTGATTTTAAAAATACTTTCTCTAAATTGTTATTAAGTATAGACATTTCTAAATGAAAATAGAGTAACTGATTAATTTTTAGGTGTTATTTTCCAGCTTTAATGCATAGGCTCAAGGGACCAGCAGATGGCATAATGGTTACGTCACTGGACTCCCACGTAGGTGACTGGGGTTTGAGTCTCAGACCTGGAGGCTTGCTTTCTGATTTTCCCTCTCTGTCTATTTCTGTCTCTCTCTGGTCAAATTTAAAAATAAATAAGTTAATTAATTAATTTAAAAAAATGAAATAATTCTTTAAAAAAAGCTTTATCTCTGACCCATTGCACAAGAGATTTGAAGCATGCATTTCTGGTTTTATTTTCTTAGCTTTATTTCTTTTGTCAGTGTTTGGTTTTATTTGTTTTCAATCAAATTAGACAGTAATAGCTGTGTATTTTGGATTGGAACCTTTGACGTGTGTAGGATATTTTTCTTTCGAGGTCTTCATGAGTAGTACTGGAGTAGGCTTGCTAATTTGTTGATGCACTTTATAAATCTCATATGAGATCATTTCAAGTGGTAGGATTTGAATGGGTAAGGGAATACATAAATATCCTCAAATATTTGATTGTGTTTGGACAACCACGCTAGGGAAAAGAAATATCAGGGACTATTGTGTTGGCCCTGATTTTATATCATTTTTGTTATAGGGTACGTGTACTCACCAGAGAGAGAGACAGAGACAGAGAAAGGGGGAAAGTGAGAAATCACTCCCCTGGGGGTGATGGCCGTGCTGCAGTCCTTTCTCCTCCATTCTCCTCTCGGGATCTTGGGCACACACGCACACGCGCCCAGCGTGATTTTCAAGCTGCTAATTCGGGGACTCAAACTGCACAGCTAGCTATGTGAGATCCAGCACCCTAACTTCCACGCCACCTGCTGACTCCATGTCCCCAGTTGCCATCTGAGCAAAAGCCCTTTCTATATTGTGTCCACGCTGTCATTTATAGACTTCTGACATTCTTCATGCCTTTCCAAGGCTTGACATTTTACCATGTTTATTTGTTAGGGTTGAAAAACTTTGAATATGGTTTCGTATCCAGTATTTAAAATTTGAGAAATTTTAGAACAATATGTTAAACACTTCAAAAATACCCTAGATGGATATAGGGTATCTAAAAAATACTCTACATGAGGGCCAGCAGGTGGCTAAGGCGTTGGACTCCCACATGGCTGACCACGGTTTGAGTCCCAGACCCAGTGACCTGAAAATCTTGCCACATGTGTGTGGGTGCTTGTTCAAAATCCCAGGAGGAGAATGGAGGAGAAGGTGTTGTGGCATGACGATCCCCACCCCCGCAGAGGGTGATTTCTCACTTTCACTGTCTCTTCTGTCTCTCTCTGTCTCTGTCTCTCTCTCTCTCTGGTGAGTGTACACTCCTTATGGTAAAAACTCTTAAAAAACAATGGTTCATTGGGGCCAGCAGATGGCATGGTGATTAATGTACTGGACTCCCACATGGTTGACTGCAGTTTGAGTCCCAGACCCAGCAACTTGAAAATCATACTGGGTACGATTTTGTATGTGCATGTGTGCCCAAAATCTCAAGAGGAGAATGCATTGAAGCCATGACCATCAGTCACTTGAACCGTGGTCAACCCTGTAGAAGTCCAGTGCCTTAACCACTGTGCCATCTGCTGGCCCCAGTCAGTTATAATTGGTAACTTTGTTGCCCTATACGTAATGTCTTTCTCTATGGCTTCAGGAAGATTTTCTCCTGTTCTTTGGTGTTAACAGTCTGTCTGTGATGTGTTTAACATAGGACTTCTTAATATATATCTTTCTAGAAATTTTCTGAATCCCAAATTGGGAAGTTTTCTGTCATTATTTCCTTAAATATTTTCCTGCCCCATATTTTCTCTCTCTCTGGGTCTCTAGTTACACGTTAGATCATTTGGAGGTGCTTTATAGGTTACCAGGACTTTGTTATTGTTTTTATTTTTTCCTGATCGAAAGGTTGGATGACATGTGCTAATCTGTCTTCTGCTCCACTATTTTTTTTCCTCTATACTCTCTCATGTTATTCATCATGCTCCTCTGTCTTAATCTATTTTTGGCTGCTTTACAAAATACCGTAAACTGGATGGCTTGTAAACAACCGGAATTTATTTCTCTCAGCTCTGGAGG